GGAAAGAGGCGGGAGAGGCGAAGAGAGGAGAAGTAAGAGTGTATGTGTGTGAGAGAGAGAAGGAATAACAGACAAAAATAGAGAAAGAGAAACAGAAATAGAAGAAGAGAGAAAAAGATGTTTTTTATTTTAGAAATAGATATTGTAATTTTTTATTTTAGAAAAAGTTGAGTTCTCAATCTATGAAAATATTTTTGTAAGAAAGTGAGATGAAAATAATTTCTAGAAAATTACATTCTTAGGAGAAAAAAATTAAATAACTACTAAATATTAAATAACTACTAAATATGAAAAATCTAGATTTTTGATTTAAGATTGTTAGGAAAGTAAAAACATTTCACATACATACCAAACGCCTCCTTACATTTTTTGTTTGTACAAAATCAACAAATCAAAAATAAAAATTATAGTAGTTACATTTTTGTTTACTCTTTTCTTTCATCATTATAGTTTGTATTTAGAATATTTCATATGAGACATAGAAAATTATAGTAAAAACATGTCACATATGTACCAAAGGCCTCCTTACATTCTTTATTCGTACGAAAACAAAAAATTAAAAATAAAAATTATAATAATCACATCTTTGTCTACTTTCTTTTTTTCATCGTCATAGTTTGTATTTAGAATATTTCATATGAGACATAGAAAATATTTATAAGATTACTTTTTTCATTACAATGTATGCATGAGTACACAAATATATGAGTATGCATGAGTTATTTCTTAGTTAATTTTTTTTTTATTTTAAACTCTAAATTTTAATAATAATAGAGTTCTGTCAATAACAATAATAATAAAGTAAATTATTTCTTTATCATACAAATTAAAAAAAAAACTTATCATACAAATTAAAAAAAAACCTACATGTGTATTAAAAATATAATTGTTAGTTTATTTAAAATTAAATTTATTGACATATTTATTGTTATTAATGTAAAATAGACTTTTAAATAAATTAATAAGTAATGTCAGACTTTTAAAAAGATTTAAAAAATATCATACCATGTCTATAAAAAACACTTATGATAAATAATATATCATATTTTAATTTTAATTTTAAGATTTAAGCTTTAGAATTTAGAATTTAATTTTATATAACAAATTGGATTTATACATTCAAAGTTTGATCTGACTTAGTGTATTCCTATTTTTACACATACATTTTTTTATCTATTTAGAATTGTCGGTTTAAATTTTTTAAATAAAATACAGGTTTTTTTATTAGTAAAGAAAATACCAATTTAAATACATTTTTAAGTGTGTGAAAATATATCACTATTCACTTTTAATTTATATAAGAAGTATTTTAATTTTGGAGGTGTCATCCTCTTCTACTATTTTTACTCATTAAAAATGCTAGTATTTTTACTCATAAAAATGCTAGTATTTTAAATTTTATATTTCATGTGCTAAATATTCATTAGATATAACAAAATCAACATCTATATATAAAATACTAAAGGTTATTTTAAGAGAGAGCATTTTTAGAGATTGTTTTTCAACAACAAAAAAAAACTTTGTTCTTTTGACAAAAAGACTTTTAGTGATTTTTTAAATTTTATATCTAATTTGATTTTTATTTATCCTAATATTTTTAATATAAATTATTAACAAATAAAAATAACTTTGTATTACAATATAAATTATTCTCATAAATCTAAATTGTAATTTATATTATATATATATATATATATATATATATATTCAAATTGTAATGACCTGTTATGATATCTAAGCACAATGGTTCAATCACTAGCAATAAAGACATAAATTTACTATATATGATTGACATACACAAAGTACCTAGATATAAATACCATAGTACATATACATCTTTAGAAATTTAATGACAACTAAAAGCATAAAATAGAAATACACACACACACATATATATATATATATATATA